GGAAAGAGGGTGAAGACTTAGACTGTTGTTAGACCAGTGACAACCTCCCTCCATTATCTGTGCTCCACAGTGGACCAGGGGTTTTCCTACAATCACTGCCACCAGAGCTTCTCTTCTCAAGGATGCTGTACATAAAATGAAGACAATTTACAGACAAGTACATGGAGGCTCAGCATCACAAGGAAAACGTGATCTGTATCTCACAGCAAGCAGTGCAAGGTCTTTTGAGACTTTGAGTCCCAGCTCCTTCTAGAATACCACGGCCTCAAGTAAGAGGTTTCTATCATTTCCTCTCTTAGAGACATTGTATGGCACACGAGAGTCCACTGGTTTGAAAGAGTTTGGTTGTATGACCTCTGAGGGCTCTTCTTAGAAAACCAAACAGAGGATTTTGACAGGCCACCTTCTTGCATCCTAATCTCTGGGTCTGACAGAACCAGTTTCAGCTAGGTGTGTTCTTAGCAACAGGGCTGACAAGCTTTACTAATTTTGCCAAATTTGCCGAGAGCAGAAGCTTTTATCAGCAAACAACCCTCAGGGATAATTAGAGTTGGGAAATTTTCTTTCCCAGTCACAGGAAGAAAACCTGAGCTGTACTAAGCAGAATGAAATATACACAAAAAAGAAACTTGCAGAAACCAAAAACTTACTATCCCCTCTTGGATCGCTAGAGTAAATAATAACTACATTATTCCTCACCTTTTCTTTCCAACACAGAAGAAACAGAGCCCAAATAAAGAAATGCAAAGCACCGTCTCAACATTCCCAAACATTAAAGGGTTCCAGTTGTTCTGAATGTAAGGGCAAATGAAATGTAAAAATACAAAGTTTTTGTAGGCAGGTCAGCATAAATGATAAATTTTTTATCATAGATGAAGATCACACTGGTTATCAGGGCTGTCAGACTGGGCTGCTGCATTCCAAAAATGGTTGCTTCTCACTCTAAGCTGCCAAGCCTAACAACGCAAAGTCTAACAGCAGCAGACACTTCTAGCTATATGACCCAGAACAGTTCACTTAACCTCTATATAGTTTGAGTTTTTCTAAAGTAAAACAAAAGTAACGCCTACAGTAAGGACCAAAGGAGAACATAATTTAAGCCATGGAACTATGTAATTCAAGCCTTTTTACAATCACTAAATTACAATAGGCACAGGTGGTAGTGCCATTCAGGACAGTGGCCTGTGAGGTCAGGGGGTTCACGGTCCTGTCTTTAGGCCAGAGGACTCACAAATGGTCCCAAATTGATATATAGCGGGGCATGGCAGAGGTCACAAAGCTGGTGGCTTCCTCATTTCCTCACACACAGCAGGCAGCTGGCTGTGGATCTGAGGATCACAACAAATCATGGCTGAAGTTGAAATGAAAAAAAGAAGCTTCAGTCTCCAAAAGTGAATCCTGACAAATGCTGAATATTGGGATTACTTCTGGACCCAGGGAGAATAAATGGCTGTAAGGTTAACACAGGGAAATTCTCAAGTCCTCTGCACTTTCCACTCTAGGGAAAACCTCATTTCTTATCCCTTTCTGGTGAGAAGAGACACTGCTACAAATCTTGGTAAATGATTTGCTAACCCTTTGTAGCCAAATCCCAGGCTGGTAAAAATCTGGCCAAAAAACGGTCCCACTGCTGGGAAATAACACACCCAGCTTTTCACAAGGCCCATCTACCTGTGGAAAGGAGGGGATGCCACACACACCTTTCTCCTCACCATGTAGAAGCACATGGCTTGGAGGAACAGAGTAAGGTTTCTGAATCAGACAGACCCACTCAGCCACTCACTAACCAACACTATGGTGAGGGCATTAAAGGTGACATATACAAAGCCCCTGGCACCAAGCCTGGCATAGAGCAGGCAATCTTAATAGCAGCTAATCTTACCAGGTAATGAGAGCTTTCTACAGGCTCTGGGATGAGGTCATGCTAATCCTCCTCATCTCTTCTCTCCATCTGTCATTAAGCCATGAATAACATATGCTGCTGATTAAAGTTGGAGGAGACATGACATGTGATCCTTAAACCAGAAGGACAGGGATTAATTTCTTGCTGTTTTGTTTTTTCTCTTTTCTAAGCTGAATCTCCAACATAGCCGAAAGCATCAGAATAATGAGGATATAAAAAAAAAGAAGGATCTCTGCTTAGCCTGAAGGCCAGTTCCCCCAGAAAGGTACCCTTTATGGAAGGAATTCTTCTAATTTAATTTTGGGTGCATTCTGAAGGGGAGAAACAAAATGCTGAGAAGACAGTAAAAGTTTTAGTCAAAAATTAAATACCCCACAATCCTTCTGAAAAAAGGTTTTTTTGTTTTGTTTTGTATTTAAGCAACTCTAAATATCAGAGGTATTTTTGGCCATTTTCTTCTACATTTTTCTGAAGGAAACTTGACAAAGAGCTAAGTACTTCTAAAACTGACTTTGAAAACTGCTTTATTCTCATTTTATTAATTCTTTAACCAAACTTTTCTTTTACTCGCAGTTGAATGGCCCACCTAATATCTGGAGCTTAACAGTGCTCTCCGCCCTGTACACGGAAGGAAAGCATGGCACATGCCAGTACAGCAACCACTGGGTCTGCACCACTGGGCCTCATCTTCACACTCTCCTTATACCATCTCTGCCTTTTACTCTGGCTTCCCCAATTCTAAAGCTTTATGCTGTTTGCACATGTTGAGGTTCCACTGAATGGTTTCATGCAGGGAAACAAGATGATCAAATGTGTGGCTTTAGAAAGATCATGGTGTAGAAGATGGACAGGAGGCGGCTGGACTGGAGGCAGGGAGAATGGTGAGAGGACAGGTGCAACAGCCGAGCTGACAAACAATTACAGGAATTAATGCAGTGCAGTATGGATAGAAGAAAGAACAAGAGGAGGGAGAAGCAGAGAACCTGGGACTGACTGACTGACTAGGAGATAAAGGGAAGGGAATGACTTCTGGGCTTCTAGCTTGGGACACTGGACCAGGAGGGTAAGAGAGAGCGAGCATGCGGGAAAGTGCACATGCACTCCATTAACCAAGAGAAGATACAGGAAGAGGAAGTTAAAGGGTGGGAGTGGGGGGAGATAAACACCAGAGTCATGTCGAACCTAATGTTTTTACCTGGTTGGCAATAACCTCTACAGGGAAGCAATGGCCAGAATAGTGTAGGACATCGGGGAGACAAAGAGCTGCCAAGTCATAGCCCCAGACCCGACAGAAGGAACTGAATTTTCTCCAGTCTTTCCCTTTCCCGAAGTCCATACTAACTAGCATCAAATTGGTGAGGTTTCTTTTCACTTACAGAATGGGTGGTCTGGCAGTCTTTTCAAGTAATGGCAGTTCCTGGCTTGTCTGAGCTCAGCCTTTAGGACCCTTTCTACATCTCAGACCCAGAAACTAACCCACCCAAATTCAAGCCTCCTTCACTCACCAGCTGGATCTCAACAGCAGTCACTGGCCTGTGATTCAACAGCTGAAGCTTTTCAGCTCTGTCAAAAGAAAAGTACAGAGCATTTAAAACTCTCATACCCCTAAGGATTTTGAGTCTTGACCAAGCTGTTTAGAGAACACTTTGTCAGATAACAAATGGAAGAACAACTTGGAACATGACCCTCAGTTTCTTCAACTGTAAAACAAAAGAATGGGAGTAAGAGAGTTCTATATCAGTGACTCTTACTCAAGGGCACAAATATATATTAGAATCCTAATGGTACAGAGGCTTGGATTACAAGAAATGCATTGATAGCAGATAGCACAGGTGTAGTTTTAATAAATTTTATTTGGAAAATGTGAATAATGCTTTCTTAATCCAAATTATAGAAAGTAAAAGATTGACAAAATCATCTTGGTTGGTCATCACTTAGAAATGGTTGAGAATTCCTTTCTGATATTAAGATTAAATGTTATTCAGACTTGGCCTGTTATCTTAGTAAACAAAAACAAGGACTCTAAGGGGACAGGAGTTAATACACGGTAGTATAAGACACAGTCTTCTGTCCTCAAAGAGCTTACAATCCAGTTGGGGAAAGAAGACAAATACAAGGAAATTTCAACAGAAGATTTAAGTAACAGTGAAGATACTCATTATCATCTGTCACAATTTACAGCTCCTTGCTGAAGGGGTGGTTGAAATGTGTGGACTCTCAAAGATGACAGGACTTGAAAGAAAGTGGCTTCAATTACCACCCTTGTGCAGGTGACAATTTCTACATTTCTCTCTCAATCTGACCCTGGAGCTCCAGCTTCATCTTTCTTTCTTTTTTAAAAAATTTATTTATTTATTTGTTTGTTTGTTTGCACCAGGTCTTAGTGGCAGGAGGTGGGCTCCTTAGTGTTGGCATGCGAACTCTTAGTTGTGGCACTCATGTGCGATCTAGTTCCCTGACCAGGGAACAAATCCGGGCCCTCTGCATTGGGAGCACGGAGTCTTACCCACTGCACCCCCAGGGAAGTCCCTCCACCTTCATCTTTCAATTCAATAAACAATTCTGGAATAAAGTGATGAGTAAGCCACAATTTCCACAGCCAGGTGTTTGGGGAAGCAGTACCAGTTACCCCGTTCTCCCTAAGCCTTGGTTTCACCACCTGTCAAACAGGAATGACAACAGTACTTACTGATCTCATAAGGAGATTATGAGGGATGAAAATCTTACCATTTATAGCAGGAGCAGCTACCATTTACTGCTTACCTTCCATATAGCAAGGACATTTAACCCTCAGACTTGACATTGAGATGGTAAAGAAATACTTTGTCCAAGGTTACACAGCTAGTAAATGGCAGAGCTGGGACTCTGCCATGAAAGCCTATTATGTCCATAACCATTCATAGTGTTCATAATGACGACCCACACAGTAACTTCCCCGTAAACGGTAGTCACAGTAAAAAGGCGGCTGTAGTTAAACTCCACTCCTCACAGTCCCCCAAACATTCACTCTAGACTTCAGAGAGGAGACGACTCTTGCACTGCGCCCTTAAGGATTTTCTAGGCAAAAAGGAAAAGAGGAATGGGCGGTCAGGGAAGGAACAGTACAAGTAAACACCCAGAAGAACAAAAATTCATGGAGTTTCAGGAAATGGCTGCTAGAGAGGCTGTGGGACACAGCTTGAAAGAGTCACATCTGGGACAAAGTCACAAAGGTCCCTGACTACCAAGAGGCCAGATGTTACTCTGTAGACACTGGAGAGCAACTGAGGGAAGGAGTGACTTGCTGGGTCTAGAACACCTGAGAAAATGGAGGCAGAGACACTGTAATACTCAAAAGTTGTGAACCTGGACAGCAGCAGCAGCAGGAAAGGAAATGAGAGTCTGGACCTGTGAAATGCTCCTGGTCACCTTCAGGTACAGTCAACAGGACCTGACAACTGCCTAGGTTGGGTCGGGGGGGTGGGGTGAAGGAAATGCGAGAGTTAAGGCTTACTGTCGGATGTTTAGCCTGTTTGGAAAAAATGTATTAATTGAAAATTTGAATTTGAGTTTGTGTACTTTTGGAACCACAATGAAGAGGTCTCTGTTGAACAGCCTGTCTAGTTTTAGTTCTAGTTTGGTCTAGAACTAAAGAAAAAGATCAGAGCTGGCTTTATTATCAAGGAGTTATGTGAAACCACGAGAGTGGAAATCATAGTCCAGAGACCAGCTGCTGAGTAAATGAAGACCCAGACAGAACACCATAAAACACCTCCATTCAAGGGGCTGGGAGAGAAAGCAGCAAAGGAGCAAGGAGTGAAAAGAGAAAAAGAAAACTTAGGAGAGTGGTGTGATGGAAACCAAGAGAGGAAAAGTTCAGGACAGAGGGTATTATCAACAATGTCAAATGATGAAGAGAGGAAAGTAGGTTGATGGTAGAGAAGTCACTGGATTTGCCAAAAAGGAGGGCACTGGTGGCCTGGGCGAGTAGTTCAGTGGAATAACAGTTAAGGTGACAACTGGATTGTGGGGACTGGGGAATAACTGTGGAGGAAATACCTCTTTTTTTTTTCTTTGTAATTCAATTATCATCACTTTATTCAAATCTTCAAAACAGTCTTTATTCTACATTTTTAGTATAAAAAACCCACAAGACAGATGCATCACAGTGTAGCTAAAGACATACAACACTGAACTTCCACAACAGTCAAACATAATATGTAGAGAACACAAAATTTAGGTGAACTGAAATTATAAGATAAAATAAAATCCAATTTCAGAAAACAAAAATCAAAAGATTAAGGATCCTGAAATATTCTTAGCCCTAGTGAGACTTCACTGGACTCAAGTCATTTTGGAGTGAGACATTCACAATATGACCCCATTAACCCAGCTTAGGAATTCTTGGGAGCCATGAGTGGACACATCAGGCACTCTGACAATAAATTGTAACCAATTTGTGATCTGAAAAACTCCCCTTAATTTGGCTCTAAAGTCATCAGACTTTTCAAAGGCATCCTCCTTGTTGCCCCTCTTATTTTAAACTGTTTCAGTACAGTTTGTATTGATATGCTTTGATATCAGGAAAAGTTCAGTTTTTCTGGCAACAAAGCAAATTTGGGTTTGGTTCATGTATAAAGAGATGATCTTTAAGGAGGGTCCAAAGGCACTCTCCACTTCTGCCTAAGGAGATCCAAAGTGGAAATAAAGGGGTCTGTGCTTAGGGCACAGAGGAAGTCTCAGAGGATCCTTGTAAAAGACTAGTTAAAAGATGACAAGTGGGAGAAGTGCAAGGAGAGAAGGAAATGGGTCTGACTGCTTTCTGTCCTGCACCACTGATTCAATGGAGACTGGTGGGAGGGAATGGAAGACTAGGATAAAGGGTGGGATTAGGGCAAAGGGTGGAAAGGAAAAGGCAGACAACCAATGTGTTTCATTTATAACAAGTAATAAAAATCAAAGACTTACAGGAGATTAAAGACCAATCAGAATAATCTGGCAACTTTAATCAGAAGATCAAAGTTCTCTCCAAACCTAATTTCATGTTTTATTACTAAAAGCGAAGACCAGTATAGTACAGTATTACTCCAGAGAAACTAAAGGAAGGTCCCTAGGGCTGCTTCACTCACATTCATTTTATCAATGGATACACCCCCCTACATCAAAATGCTTCAGGGCGGTAATGCTACTACTATATATATAGTTTCTTATTAAGTTTGAAAAGTGACTGAAAGTTTGGGCACCAGAAAGACACCTCAACAACGTGTGTCTAAACTGCAACTTCAGGTTAATGTGACTAAAGCAGTTATATTGTGAGAAGCTACGTGATGTCTTTCCTGGCACAGAGGTGGCCTTGGCTCCTCACCAGATGGTGTAGTCACCATCTGAGCCACCCATGGAGAAGTTTCTCTTCCACTGAGTTACAAGGACATGGGCTCCCTGCATGACTGCAAGCTGTGCAGTGGGAGGATACCCAGTGCTGTAGGAGGAACCGTGCCAGCAGTAGCCTCAGCTCCAAATCTGGAACCTTCATCACACCCTCCTCCCACCGGCACTGCTAAACCACCTGGAGGTGGGACCAACCAGATACTAAGCCATGGGGACTCTGCAACCTAAAAGGCCAACGGCCACAGACTAGGCCGTGGGAAGATACCGTGAGATGCCAGGAAAAGCAGCTGACACAGTGGGGACTGTGGCAGCCCCTGAGTGCCCAAAGCTTGGATGGCAGACCTCTGAGCAGGCAGGTGAAGCATCAGTACAGGGTGGAACCTGAGGAAGATGCAAGGTCTGAGAGTACACTGGATTCCCAGGAGGCTGCGCAGGGTAGGCTGGCTGTGGTGGATACTGACCCCTGCCGTTCATGCAGGCTGTGGGTCTGGTTCAGCTCAGTGTCATGGACAGCGTCTTGACAGGATAGAAGTAAAAAAGCAATTATGGCCTGAGGAGGGCAGGTTCTGAAGGGAAACTGAAGCATGTTTGTCGGCTAAGAACACAAGCAGGTGGAGAGGCTGAAATTACAGGAGAGAAAAGAAAAGACGCTCAAAAAAAACAAAAGTTCAAAGTTTCCGTGAAAAGGCTCATGTTTCACTGAGATCACAGCAATGGGGAAAGAAAAAGCAAATTTAAGGAGATGTGAAGGGAAATGAGTTCATTTTGGATAGTTTTCTCAGTGAAGCAAAAGTGAGGTCACCATCTGAGAGGTCTGGACGTGAAGAGGGTTAACAGGACTAAAAGCTGCAGAGAATCGAGTAAGGAGGAGACTAGGAATAAGACTAGGACTAAGCAAGCAGCTTCGAAGGACCAGCTGAGTTGGAAAATATGAATCCTCACTCAAAACAAAATTATTTATTTTAACCACCATCATCTAACAGCATGAATAAAGAATAAAGAGTAGGAAAAGACATAGCTGAATAAATGAACATCTCAGCTACAAATCAATCAAAGCAACAGAACTCAGTTTATTGAACAGTCATTATCCTGCCAGGCTCTGAAATGCTGGAAATGTTCCTACAGTTGCAAAAAGGATAAGTCTCCTACCGACAAAATCATTACAGCTACTCCCTGAAAAACCCCAACCTGGAGTC